TTAAATTCCAGTGAAATATATTCATGTTTGTGGTTGTAATGTGACAAAATATGGAAAAGTTCAAGGGGTATGAATACTTTTGCAAACCACTGTATGGTTGGTAACAACACCTGTGTCTCACTCCCTTACTGCAAAGTTCATGAGAGGCAGACAGAACTGCTTTGCAGAAACGAGTTGGATTTTATAAAAAAAATCTTGATGGACACGCATGGATTGTAATGTTTCTAAAGTGTTTTATGTGGGATTTTCAAATTAAAAAGACTCTTCACTCACAGATTTAAAGAGAATATGTTGGCAGTGAGACACTTGGTGAAAAAAACAAACAAACAAAAATGCAACCATTTGAAGAGAATTTGTACATGTACCTGAAATGTTACATATTTTAAAAGTTAACACGTGACAATGGTCAAAAATCACAAAACCTCAACTGTGTAAAAATTGTAAAAGATAAAGCATCAGTTCAAAATTGTCTAAATTTGAGGATTTTAATGGGAAGCAGAGGCATCGGTTTCACAAAATTACATTAAAAATATATTTTTTGTAAAATTTGTTAATATTGTCCAACATACTGCTACAAAAAGTCATAGCACATTATTCCCAATTAAGCTGCATGTCCTGGTGTATAACTATGTATTATTTGCATGCTTTATTTGAACGCTGTAACATTTTTAACACTCTGGCTCCTACACCCTAAAGCAAAGGTGTAGGAGCTTTTTAAACGTTTTTGAGCTTTTCATTTCAGAATTCTTAATATTTTTTGTGTTAACGTGAAAAAGTATGTTGGTACAGCTTATTTCAGTTCAGGTTTCCTGTGAGCATTAAAAAAAATAAAATCAACTCAACTCAGTGTAGACATCACCGACATCAACTCTTATTGATGGAGCAGTCCTGATTGTTTCCCCTACATGCTAATCACTCCTCTGTGGATGACACATTCCTGCAGGATGTTGTGTGCCAGCATTTCTGCAGCTTTTCCCGCAGGCTGCATTCCCTCCCAGCGTCCAGCTCAGACCCCCCTCGCACAGCAGAATTCCAAAGACATTCCTGTGTCATGTCGTTTTACAAGGTGGACAAGCGTTATTGTTGCTGCAGAATTCCCACCCAGGAACTAGTCTCTCTCTCTCTCACACACATCCATCCGTCAGGAGTGTCAGCGCAACTCAAACAGAACAACAACAACAAAACAAAGAGGAATTTCCTTTTTGTTGTGATGCTTTTATTTACACATGGGAGGCTGGGAACATGGGGATGAAAAATGTCACTCCATTACACCCTCTGAAACATTTATGATGCAACATGGCGAATTCTGTTCGATTTTTCCTGACATACTGTGCAAACAGCTGCACGCGTCATCTAAAACACATCTGTTTCAAAATGAAGTTTTAACAAATTAATTTGCAGTGAAGCGATTAAGTGAAACGTAACGAGTCAGCAGGTTGGTTATAGGAGTTCTGCTTGTGGGAGTCCTTAAATGAGTGATATGATGAACACAGGAACATGGCAGGTTTCATTTTGTGTTATGAAAAAAATGGATACATTCACAATTAAAATGTACAAAAATAAAATGTGCTGACTGCTAACTAACCGTGTCTGAAACAGTTAACTACACACCTACAGTCAAGCTATTTTTATATACATTATACTGTATATTTAATAAATACTGAATATAGCTTTTTTCTATATTATGAAGTAAAACACGTCACTGTGTAACATCTGTATCTGCTGATGAGGTAATTCCTGGTGAAGAAGCTGAAGCTGGTCTGTTTTTTTATCCACGTCAGATCAAACTGAACACAGATGTGAATAAAACCTTTTTAAACTATCTGAGTGCACATTAATAATAATTTATCAGAGGGAAAATGCAGTGAAAATATGTTTTTTTAGAGGAAATTTTATTCAAAATGCATCAGCCAGAACCTCTCATTGGAGGATGATGGTGATGATGATTTCCAGTGTTTACTCCGATGTTAGTGTTCAGGATTGAGCGGTGGACGGATGTCCAGTGTTCTGGACGAGCTGTCCTCTCCCACCACCTCCAGGCGCAGGCTGGGCACACCACGCTCCTCCTGCCCCTCTGATTGGACGGACAGACGCAGCATGCAGCCTTTGGGCAGCAGCTCCTGCTCGTACGCTGCAGCTAACTGGTTGACGACCCGCCGCTCAACCTGAGGCATCAGTACCAGGTTAGTGATGAGGAGGATTATCCTGACAACATTGACCACTCTTTGTTTTTTACCTTTTGGAAACACTTGTTAGATTCAAAATACCTCAATGATACTGTCTCCATGTGCTCTACTGAACCAAAAGTGTCTTTGTTTTGAAATGTACACTTTATAGATGGTGGCCATAGTTTTTGGATCCTAATTTTTGTCTTTGAGAAAGCTCTGTGGAGTATTTACTGCCTGAGAAAAACTTTTTTTTTAACTTGATATATGTGCGAAAACCAATAAAAGACTAGACACGAGGGTATTGTGTGCAATTAATCGTCAGTAAAACTGTCAAAAATTAATATTTGCCACTTTGCAATTACTGCCACGTGATAACATTTTTGTGTGTGACACACAATTAGACGTGCATGAGTGCAGAGCAAATAATGCTAACCCTATAAACTTAGTAGTCCCCTACAGTCTATTAAACGTAAATGGCATATTTGTTCTTGATGCAGCCTAAAGTTTAGTCTCTGAGAGGTAATGCTTTTAACCAAATGTGCCAGCCGGCTGCAGGGAGCAAACACTGGCTTTGTTTCAGAGTAAACAAAACAAAACCACCACCTAGCTGTGCGAACATCGATTACCTCGTGTTTGATGGAACGAGCGCCATAGTGCAGGTTGTACCCGCCTGCCAACAGCTCCAGAACTGGGTGATCCCACTGTAGAGTGATGTCGTGGCGCTGCTTAGCCTGATGAAACAAAGATGTGGGGATGTTAAAAGGATGCATCACACACACACACACACACACACACACGCACGCACAAAAAAGGAAGCCCCAATCAGTTAAGGGAGAGGAGTACAAAGAGACAAATGCAGCAGCAGAGGGGAGATACTGTCAGGCAGCATGTCTGCCAGTGCTAATCAACAGGCCCTTAATGCGTTTTAATCAAACACCGGTCAATATCAGCGATCAGAGCAGCTCATTTACCCACCGATGTTAACACGTCATTCAATAAATAAGATTCTAGATTTATAGTTAGGTGATACTGGCTGCACTAAACATTTAATTCCCATAATATAAGTGAGTTACAAACAAATGGCTTGTGGGGATTAAGTGATAACGAGATTTCTGATGTTTGAGCTGCTGCTGGATACAGACGAGTTATCGTTAGAGACAAAAAAAAAACAATAAAGAGTGGACACGCCACAGCGTTCTGAAACAAGTCATGAATCAGGTCTCTGTTGGTCCTCTGCAGGGGTCACGTTGTCAGGACCCAAGCTGTAATATTAACAATTAAATATTGATGAAGGCTCTACATGTTAAACAGTGTAATCATGTTATAGTAACACACAGCATTGATCTCTGTGTGTGTGTGTGTATGAGTTTTCTACACAGCTCAGCAGGAGAAAAGTCTAGCCAAGGGGGGACACCCAAACTGTGAAGACACATCTAGAGAAATCCGATCCTCTCAGATACTGTATACAAACACACAGTTCAGGTTTTTATCTTTTTAGAAAGAAAAATACTGTTTTTATTATAACGGTTTAAATTCCACAGGGATATGTTTGAACATTAATGTGCTGTCAAACCTTTTTGGCCCAGAAGTGGAGCTCTTTGCTGACCAGCTGCAGCAGCTCGGAGTGACAAAATGGCAGGAAGTACACGATTTCATTGATCCGACCCAGAAACTCGTCCCTCCGGAAATGAGCCTGTGGATCAATCAGAGTGTGAACGAGGACACCTGCAGCGCCTCACACCAAACATGTCTGTGGGTTTCTGTAGCTGCTGTACCTTCAGGATCGGCTGGATCACCGTTTCTTTGAACTGTCGGGAGATTGTGACGTCGTCACTTTTCTGTACGTCCTCTGGGAGATGAAAACAAACGAGGGTTAATTTTCTCTCCTGGCCTCTCAACAGAACCCTTTTATTTGCTGCTGCGTTCCTCTCACCGAGGTTGTCGGCCAGCTTTCTGCGACTGATCTCCTCAGCTTCCTGCCGGAGCTGCAAGGCATGCTGGGCGATTTCTTCACTCGCCACGTTAGACGTCATGATGAAAATGGCATCTTTGCACTCGATGGTTTTTCCTTTGCCGTCTGTGAGTCGTCCCTGCGAGGAGGAAACGGCAGCAGCTAAGTAAACTTTAATTCTCTTCAGCGCCGTCAAACAACAGGCCCCGCCCACACCTCGTCAAACAGCTGCAGCATGATGGTCAGAACATCAGGGTGAGCCTTGTCCACTTCATCAAACAGGACAACAGCGTTGGGACACGCCTTCAACAACTTGGTGAGTTGACCCCCTTCCTCGTGTCCTACATATCCTGGAGGCGAGCCAATGAACTTTGCCACCTGGTAGAGGAGGAGGAGGATGAAGAGTTGCTTCAAATGATGGAACGCAGCAGACAGATGTGTTCTCAGGGATGACTCTTAAAAAGACTTTATTTTCCTTAAACGAGGTGTATGAAGGGATAACTCACTGTTTCTACACACTGAGCTTGTGCAAAGAGCAATCTATAACAAGATGCTAACTGTTTCATCCTTTTTACAGAACCCCACTTCAAAGATCTAAACAAGGGGTGTCCAATACAAGTTTTTCCTCAAACCAAGTACTACAATGTGGGTACTTAAGAGTACTAATACAGAGTACTTACTGAGTTATAACCTAAATATTACACAATGATTTAAAAACCCCTTTTTATTTAAAACAAGGTGGTTCTTCTTATTAGACCTACAGCTCCTTTCAGGACACATTTGATACACTACTACACTAATCTGAACTATTGCTTTAATTTAAAAGGGCTGTATCATGTAAATTCAACTTTTTAGAGTTTTATATCATGTTATAATGTTATCCTCTCATCAAAAACATGCCTAAAGTCTTACTTTGACTCATTCATGCGTGTTTGAGAAATCCTGTGCTGTCCTGAGGCAGCCAGGCAGGGGAGCAAAAACGAACGGTTGGGACCAGAAACGCCTCTGGGATATGTCTTCAAGCCGAGCTTCCTCATCACAGAGCACACCTCCCCACCCCCCACCC